ATAGTCAACACAACTACAACTTTAAGGTTATGTGAAGAAATAATTTGAGGAATCAGCAAAAATAAAAATAAATAGTTGCTAGGCAACGGTGATAATAACACAATTCTACTGCAATGCTACGGATTTTGATTGTGTATTTCAAATGCATTCATGTTTTAAGTAAGTAAGCGGACAGCTGATTTTGCGGCCCCGGGCTGTAAAAACCTGCTTGGTCCCTAAATTACGATGACAGCTGGCATGACCAGCAAAACGTAACTTTCAGCCACCAATTAACGTATGTACAGCCAAAAACATCATAGTATGGTGAAAAAAATAATAATATACCATAATAACTCTTGATAAGTTGGTAGTAGAAACTATGATATCATTGTCGTAATGAAAGATCCGATAAAATTGTAATTACACATTGGAGATAGTTGAAGAGGAAACGGGAATAATTAGGTAATTACCGAGGTGTCATCTCCCATACCACAAGGTGCATTCGGCTGACAACATACTGCAGGATATGTCGAAACATACGTTAATTACATCCTATTTAGCCACTATACAGGGTGTTCATTTGAAAACTTTCCATATCTGTTGTGTGCAAAGGTAAGGCTTTTAACACTTGTTTGTTCTCATTTCCACCTAATTTGGACATGCCAAATCCAATACAATTATTTTCAATTTTGAAAAATGCCCCAAAAGGGCCCAATTTGGGGGGTAGGGGTGCTTTTTGAGAAATTTTCAAATGTAAACATGGGTTGTGTGATACATCAATTTAAAGGTCTAATCACCCCGATCATTTTGGTGCAAAAAAAGTTTAATTATCTTTAACCGTATTTACAGGGTGGGTCAAAACGTTTTAAAAAAGGACTTTGAAGTTAAGTACCGTATTACCCTAACTAATGAACGGAACAGCGCCAAATTTCTTTCCAAGCTTATTCTTGAGCTACTCTTTAAGATAACTTGTAGTAAGGGCATTTTCCATGTTATTATCTAATTTAAAAAAAATCTCAAATTTTAAGAATAAAAGAAAGCTGAAAACTCAAAATTCTTAAATAGCAAGGTATAACAAATTTCATACCACGTGAAAGGTCATTTTTTAACAAACATTTTACGTATTTAAGTTTTCTTTCTATCTCTTACTGTTTAAAAATTGCAGTAGAAAATCATAATTTTCCATGGTAAAATTATAAATTTTTCTAATAAAACACATTGCACTTTGCTCAACGATGTAGTAGGATTTATTACAAATTGATCGACTACTTTTACTTGTGTCAGAATTCATCTTGGACCCTTCATCCTGTTCTTTTCTCATTGGTAACTGAGCTACTTTCAGAAAACTTCCTAACTAAATCATTTACAGCCACATGACTCAAGGTCTTACCTGGATATCTATTGTTAAACACTTTGCAGTTATCCTGGAACACCTTTGTTCTGACCAATAAGTAAAAATAAAGTCTTTTTTTTTAGTGTACACCATATTTGATTAGATACTACAGGAAATGGTACTTTTGAAATTAGTACTACCATTGACTAGTAAATGGTACTACAGAAAGCGGCCCACGCTTGGGTTTTTCTCATCAGCTATAAAACTTGTTTTTCACAAAGTAAAACGTAATAACTTGTTTGTCTATCTGCCTATAAATAATTATGAATTGTTTCCTTCAGTTGTTGCACCATTACATGTGTCTAGAGACAAATTTTGGCTGTTTTATTAGAAAACTAGTTACAATTTTACAATAGAAAATTATGTTTTTCTACTGCAATTTTTAAACGGTAAGAGATAGAAAGAAAACTTAAATACGTAAAATGTTTGTTAAAAAATGACCTTTCACGTGGTATGAAATTTGTTATACCTTGCTATTTAAGAATTTTGAGTTTTCAGCTTTCTTTTATTCTTAAAATTTGAGATTTTTTTAAAATTAGATAATAACATGGAAAATGCCCTTACTACAAGTTATCTTTAAGAGTAGCTCAAGAATAAGCTTGGAAAGAAATTTGGCGCTGTTCCGTTCATTAGTTAGGGTAATACGGTACTTAACTTCAAAGTCCTTTTTTAAAACGTTCTGACCCACCCTGTAAATACGGTTAAAGATAATTAAACTTTTTTTGCACCAAAATGATCGGGGTGATTAGACCTTTAAATTGATGTATCACACAACCCATGTTTACATTTGAAAATGTCTCAAAAAGCACCCCTACCCCCCAAATTGGGCCCTTTTGGGGCATTTTTCAAAATTGAAAATAATTTTATTGGATTTGGCATGTCCAAATTAGGTGGAAATGAGAACAAACAAGTGTAAAAAGCCTTACCTTTGCACACAACAGATATGGAAAGTTTTCAAATGAACACCCTTATAACTAATCAATAAAATTATACCCTTCATTGTATATTAACATATACAATATTGGTATGTTGACGGTTAGTGGAGCATTTTAAAGATATTCTTTAGCCGGAATTTTCCCTACTAAATAAAATTGATTCATATTCGAAAATAATATTGAACCCTTTAAGGACTATGATATAGTTGGGTGATAATTATTTTTGTTTAATGGGTGGTAATAATTTTATTTGGTGTATATACAGAGCATCCCTCAACTTTCTACCGACCTTTCAAGGTATTATTCCTAGAACAAAGACAAATTAAACTATTACGTAAAAAATTCATAACTAAAAAAATTACCCGTACAGCAGCCATTTTGTTTTTCAACAACACTTTACTTATTCGATAACTGATTTTTGTAGGGAAATGAACTTTTCTAGATGGATAATTAATGTAAATGTCTATTGAAAAATATATATTCCGAAATGGTGGCCATTAAGATGTTCATACTGAAATAACTCAAAACTTACCTATTCTCTTAACTTTTGTATCGTTAGATTTCCAAAAAGATTGCCTAAATAACAATGAGTAGTTTGTATCTATGTGGTTTTTACGTAATTACAGATTAATAGTTTTAAAGACCGCTATTTTGAAACTAAACAGGACAGAGAAATTAAATTCTTTCTCAAACTAGTTCCTTAAATTGTAGATCTATGCAATAAATTAAAATTTATCAAAAAAGCCGCTACAAAAATAGTTTTAAAACCCCAAATAGAAGCTGTACAAGTAATTTTTGAGTTTTGGAAATTTATTAAGTGACATTTTTGTTTGTCTTAATTTAGGAATGATATTTTACAAGGTCACTAGAGAGTTTAGGGAAATCCAGAAGAGCCAAAAAGGACTCATTTTATTGCGACCCCAAGAAGCTACCAAGGCAAAGCAGGTTAGAAAAGTAAAAAAAAGAAAAAAGAAAAAATGGGTCCGGCTCATATAGGGCTATACGTAGAGGTTAATCTCAAACAAGAGAAAAAATAACGACTCTATCCTTGCAACACGATATTGCACATTGCCGTTATCACTCCAGCATAAAGAAATCCATAGTCTGCGCATAGTAGTAAATAAACCTTAGTAATAATTGTATAACATATTTTATTGGGAATTTTTACCTAATAAGCAATTTACTTGTTGAAAATTGCATGGAATAAATTATGTTATGTTAGCAGTATAGCCGCAGTAATGTAACTAGGACAATACTATTACCTGAGAGCCAGAGGTTCAGTGTTGACAGCTTGCCAGTGAACATTTCAACAGTATCCTTGCCAAGATAGAGCTGCGGATATAATCTAGGCCAAAGGATATGGAGTTGGTTGCTGTAGCCAGTTCGTACTGTATATGGCTTGACAATCGTTATTGTGGAATACAGCGGAAACCTGAGAAATGAATTATGTCATAATATGTTCTTTTATATATATCATGTTAGTTTTATATCATTCGACCAGACTGTACTCTTGTTGTTGTACTTGGACTGTACTGAGTTTGAACTGTACCGTTAGACCTAGATGGAGTGCTCGGTCACTTTGAATAAACCCATGCCAACGTTAACATGTCTATCATTTAACGAACCTCGACCTGCGATCCATATCACATGGCGCAGTCGGTAAAATTTAATTATGTGAGTCTTAAAAGTATGTTTGAATTTAATACGGTTATTTTGAATTATTGAGACAAGACGTTGAAGCTTTATAATCATGCCGAAAGCAGGAGAAGAGGAGGAAAAAACGCCCATCGTCGTGCAAAGTTCGACTACACCTTCAATACGCCCACCATCAGAATTGACATGGTCAGGTAATATGTCAGAAAATTGGTCGTTTTTCAAACAAAAATTTAAAATCTACATGGTTGCTAGCAAAAGTGAAAAAGAGACTAGTGATTATCAAATCGCTCTTTTACTATCAGTCATTGGTGATCGTGCTCTGAAAATCTACAACAATTTTCAGTATTCAACAGGAGAAGACAAGCACAAGTTAGAGACTGTAATATCTAAGTTTGATAATTATTTTATACCCACTAAAAATGTAACTTATGAACGTCATATTTTCTTTTTGCGTGAGCAAAACCTTGATGAAAATATAGACTCTTTTGTAACTGATCTTAGGGATTTGTCTAGCTCATGTGAATTTGGTCAGTTAACAGACAGTTTAATCAAAGACAAACTCATTTTGGGTATTAGAAATAGAACATTGAAAGACCGACTTTTGCAAACTAAAGACCTAGATTTAAATAAAGCTTTGGAAATATGTAGGGCTTCAGAAACTGCTAGCAAACAATTAGGAGATATTTGCTCAGACACTAGATCGGCAAGTATAGACGTGCACAAAATTGCAAGCAAGGATTGCAAGAAAGGGCAACATGTGACGTCACGATCAAACAGCTTCATACGCAATCGTAGCATACCGACTTCAGGAGAACGGCTGCACTCGCAGACGACGCAGACTCATCTAAAAAAGGGCTTCATCAACAACAACAAACAGAAGTTTCAGTTTGTGTGTTCCCGTTGTGGTTACAATCATGCTTATGGTAAATGCCCTGCATTCGGTAAGAAATGTGCAAAGTGTGGTGTTTTGAATCATTTTGCTACTAAATGCAAAAATAAGAATGTAAATATGTGTAATGTTATTATTAATGATTCCAGTGAAGATGATGATAATTTGTTTGTAGGGGAGATACATGTTGTCTCTAACAAAAATAAATATGGTAAGTGCCAGTGGCATTCAGATTTGTTGATCAATGATAAAAATGTTAGTTTTAAGCTTGATTCAGGTGCTGATATTTCCATATTAAGTAAGAAAGTTTTTGATGATCTTAACCTAAATGTACAACTCGAGCCAACCAAAGCTAGGCTAACCTCTTACACAGGTCAAGGCTTAGACACTGTAGGTAAATGCTCCCTTGATGTTAAACACAAAGATGAAGTACATAGTGTAGAGTTTTTTGTTGTAAATAGTAAATCGCCTTGCATTTTGGGGTTGTCTGATTGTGTCAAACTGAACCTCATAAAAAGGGTTGACAATGTAAAAGGTAATAATGGCTTAAGTGAAGGTCCTGAGTCTTCTCATTGTATTCTTGATGAATACCCAGACTTGATGTCTGGTGTTGGATGTATAAAAGGTGAACATGAAATTCAGTTAAAGGAAGGTGCTCTTCCAGTTATTCATGCATGTAGGAAAGTTCCACTTGCATTAAAACCTAAATTAAAAAGGAAACTAGACAATTTGGTCAAACATGAAATAATTGAGAAAGTAGTTAAGCCTACAGAATGGGTTCAATCGTTAGTCATAGTTGCTAAGAACAATGGAGATATGCGACTGTGCCTAGATCCGAAAGATCTTAACGCTGCAATAATGCGGCCTCATTTCCAAATTCCGTCTTTTGAAGAAATTTCCGCCAAAATGGCTGGAGCTAAGTTTTTTAGTACTCTTGACAGTAAAAATGGGTTTTGGCATGTGAAGTTAACCGCCAAGTCATCGGATCTATGCACATTCAATACCCCCTTTGGTCGCTACAAATTTCTGAGGTTGCCATACGGTATATGCTCTGCTAGTGAAGTGTTCCAGCAAAAAATGAGACAAATCTTTGATGAATTTGAAGGGGTCGAGGTTTACGTTGATGATATTATTTTGTGGGGTCGTACAAAAGCGGAACACGATGCGAGACTAAAGTTAGTGTTAGACAAAATGAGAGTGGAAAATATTAAGCTAAATAAAGAAAAATGTAAAATAGGCACAACAGAAATTAAGTATCTTGGGCATAAATTTACACAAAATGGCATTGACATTGATGAAAGTAAAATCAGAGCAATAACCTGTATGGAACCTCCAACAGACCGCAAGTCTTTGGAACGATTTTTAGGTCTTGTGACATATGTAAATAGGTACATACCTAACCTATCCGAGCACACAACACCTCTACGTTCTATTTTAAAAAAAGATTGCATTTTTAGTTGGCAACATGAACAACAAAACGCTTTTGAAAAACTTAAATCATTGTTAACAAACAGACCTGTTTTACAGTTCTTTGATGTAAACAAACCTATTGTACTGACTGTAGATAGCTCTCAAAATGGTTTAGGTAGTGCACTGCTACAAGACAATCTGCCTGTAGCCTATGCCAGCAAAGCGTTAAATGAAACGCAGAGACGTTACTCCCAAATTGAAAAGGAACTCTTAGCCGTGGTGTTTGGCTGCGAACGTTTTCATCAGTACATATTTGGATCAACCATCACTGTGGAAACGGACCATAAACCACTGGTAGCAATTTTCAAGAAGAATCTTGATTCGTGTCCCCCTAGGCTACAGCGGATGTTAATAAAATTGCAGCAGTATGACATTAATTTAGTGTATAAACGTGGCAAAGAACTTTTCATAGCGGATACTTTGTCCCGTTCTTTTGATGGCTCCGATACTAGTGAACTCAACTTGGACACTGATGACATAGAAGCTCATGTTAATTATGTAACTCAAAACCTGAATGTTGATCCTATTAACATGTCTAAGTTAAAAGAGTATACTGCTAATGATAGTGAACTTGTTACATTGCTTAAGTTTGTTAAAGGTAATGTGTGGCCTAACCACAAAAGTAAGCTTCCAGAATCTGTGCGACAACATTGGTCTGTTAAAGATGACTTAACCTATTGTAATGGTTTGTTGTTTAAGGGACCGTGCATAGTGATTCCGAGGGGAATCAGAAATGAAATGCTCAAAAGGTTACATTATCCACATCTAGGGGTAACCAAAACTCAGCTCAGGGCAAAAAATGTAATGTATTGGCCGCAAATGAACTCCCAAATCTCAGATGTTATATCAAAGTGTGAAACATGTATTTTGAATGCAAACAGCAATGTAAAGGAACCTCTGATGCCACACAAGGTACCAAAGCTACCTTGGGACAAGGTAGGCATTGATATTTTCTTTTTTGAAGATAAAAAGTTTTTACTAGTTGTCGATTATCTTTCTAAATATGTTGAAGTTGTGATCTTGCAAAATATGACTAGTGTTTATGTTGTAAATAGTTTGAAATCTGTATTTAGCAGACATGGTATTCCTAGAGTTGTGATTTCTGGTTTTGATACTAGTTTTAACAGTAGTGAGTTTGAAAATTTCTCGAAGTGTTGGGAATTCAAACATGTACGCACAAGTCCTCATTATTCGCAATCAAATGGGATGGTAGAAAGAGCTGTTCAAAGTGTTAAAAATCTGATCAAAAAGTCTGTGCTAGAAAAAACTGATTTGTATTTGGCTCTCTTAGAATTAAGAAACACGCCAATCAGTTGTAATCTGCCTTCTCCAGCAGAAATTCTTTTCAGTAGGAAACTTAATGGTATTTTGCCATGTCAAGACAAAATGCTTAGGCCTAGAGTACAGAAAAATGTTAGAAAAAACTTAATTTTAAGACAAGACTCTCAAAAAAGGTATTATGATAGAGGTGCAAAGCCCTTAAGGCCTTTGCAGGTAAATGAACATGCCTTGATGAAATACAAAAACAAATGGGTAAAAGGTCAAATTGTTGGAAAGAGAGATGAGCCTAGGTCTTATATTGTACAAAGTGAACGTTCAGACAAGACTTATGTTAGAAACAGACGGGATCTCCGTCCATTCAACGTATCATGTAAGCCTTATTTTGTCAGTAGTAATGATGTACCTGGTGTTAACCCGAAATCGCCTGTAAAGACCAGATCCCCAATCAAGTCTCCTTCCCATAACCTACGGCATAGCCAATCTCCTTTGAGACCAATTTTGTCTCCTGCCAAAGAAGTAACCTCATCTCCTGAAAGGCCTAACAGTCCTAGACATGTACACTTTCCTGCTGACCACAATCACTACACGACCCGTTCTGGCCGTATGATAAAACCTGTCGACAAAATGAATTTGTAGGCCCTAATGATTTATATTATAGGTAGGCCTAACTTGAAGTATTTTATTTTTTTATTGTAATATCCATGTTTATGTTTCTTTTATTGTACTTAGCCTAACGTGTCTATAATTCTTGTGGTAACTTTCAAACTCTGTATATTTTTTATGATTAATTGTTGTTTCCAGTAACCTTGTTTAGTTTTAATACTTTGAAATTTGCGCTCTATTGATTTCATTTAGGCTAGTAACTATGCCTTATTAAAATTCAAATTTTGATTATTAATTGTATCGTAAATTTATATTGTGATTTTGTATTGTAAATTTATATTTGGTAATTTTATGACTATTGTAAATTCACTTTGATGATTATATTGCTGTTCAGATGTGTTAGGCTTAGTTTAATTTGTTATGAAAATCAAACTTAAAAAATAAAAAATAAACTGTTGGTATGTAAAAGTAATTTTTAATTTTGAAAAAAAAAAGATTGAATATTTTATTTGTAAAAAAAATGTAATTTTTTCTTTTTAAAAGAGGGAGATGTCATAATATGTTCTTTTATATATATCATGTTAGTTTTATATCATTCGACCAGACTGTACTCTTGTTGTTGTACTTGGACTGTACTGAGTTTGAACTGTACCGTTAGACCTAGATGGAGTGCTCGGTCACTTTGAATAAACCCATGCCAACGTTAACATGTCTATCATTTAACGAACCTCGACCTGCGATCCATATCACAAATTATTATCAAACTGAGAGACAACATACTTTATTGACTAACCACTATCGATATTTTGTTTTTTAGATAATCAACGATGATTTTTTACCTATACATCTTATCAGAATATAGACCAGTCGTACCAGTACTCAGTTCTTTCAATTAAAAAATACCCTGTCACAGCAAACCTGCAGACTAAGCGTTTTTTATATACCTGGCTAAATTTTCAATAAAATATTGTCTTAAAATTGTCAGATTTATTTCTTATTTAAATAACGTTAATTTTATGAGAAATCATGTTTGCTGATGCAGGGAAAATAATAAGGTGTGTTTTATTGAAAATATTAATAGTTTAGTATGATTAAACAACATTGTGAATGTCATTCAAAATATATTCATAAAAAAACAAACTAGAACAATTTATTTATAAGCACAACAAACACAACAACGCTTCAATATACTATTTTTTAAGCTTTACTAAATAGTAGGAAGAAATTGTGAAATTTTATGTTTTGAGGGCCAAATATGGGGGAAATAAACTTTTATCCCATAAAACCTCCATAGCACCCTGTTCCAACACTGATTACTGATCATGCTGGTTCGCGATCTCGTTCGAATAAACGTGGTTTTACATGTTTGTACAAAATGCAATACAAATATATGTTAATTGGATCGGATGGCATTTTCGGCCTTTGGGAACATCAAAACGAAAAAGTAAATGTACCATAAATAAGTGGGTTTGAACTTTTATTAACAATCTACATATACAATCAATAACACTGTGAAAAGTAGCTTAGCATTTCCCCAAGTAAACCTTTACAATATACTCGTACTTTGCTGGCTAAACTTTTCTCGGTCACAACTCAGTAAGTTCCACTTATTGGTTTCCCAATCTCAGTTCACAAGTTTGCTGGCTTTGCTTTGGACAGATATGGAGTGATCATTTTCCCACCTCTGTTTTGTAGTTGGACACAGGTGTTTCACTTCAACAAACTCATTCTGAAATCGTGTCAATGTGTCAATTTGATATGTTATGGTTTACCAAAAAGCTTATATTACTTTTCAGTATCTATACCAATTACTGTATTAATAAAGTTGATACTAAGCATTTTAAGGTTTCAAGTAGATCTAGGCTATCTAGTAGAGGAAATAGTTCTCCGCGTTTTGGAGATATACCATTGTTGTTTCTAGATAGGTGGATCTACAATTAATTATTAGAATAAGTCGGGAAAATAACTTAACATCGGCTATTTTTTCCTACGAAAGCATAATTAGACGATTTAGTGATCTTACGATCGAAAAAGACTGGTGAATTACTTAATGTTTATAAAATAGTATATTACGGTACTAGCCCTGAAAATAAGAGGATACTCGTGTGGTAATACCGTACTCGACGTCTCGCACGGGAACGACCACACTCGTCCGGTAAACACATTTTGGACAAGTTACGTAGGATAGTTTACGCCATACTACTAAATCTGTACAACTCCCTGTATATTACCACAAACTAAAGGACTGAAAATCAGTAGTCATAATATGTTTTTTTCCTACAGTCACCCGACAAAGTTGGCTTCCTTGTACTTTTATAGTACAGAAAGCTGCTAATTGCTGCATATTTATACTTTGCCGTACGGTTTATACTTTGTCGTACGGTTTATACTTTGCCGCACATCAGGATTCCAACGAAACAACACAAAACAGCGTGGTTCTATTATGCACGTAATCCGTGTATGCTTGGAAATAGGTTGGCAACACTTAAAGATAATAATACTATGAGCAGCTGATTGCCTATTATAACTACGATTTAACCTGTCATTTCGTGTTTATAGTTTTGGTATTTCTGAACTTTCTGGACTTTTCTTTTAAACGTTTTTAAAACATTCCTACGATCTTAATAAACAAGAAAATACCTTTAATTAAAGCATTTTGTTATGCGCGGAATCCACTTCTAATTACAAAAACATACGGAACTATATTCTCAAAACACGGAGCACATTTCTTGCCGAGGAAAAATAGCGGAGTGATACGGACCGCGGGTACTACTTTCTCTAGGGCACCATTTGTGTTGCCAGCTGAACCTAAAAACGTGTTGTATAGTGTTTAAAATACTAATTATCCATATGCTTTATAGTGACTGTAGGAAAAATATAATGTGTAACACGAGTGAAAAAGGCCTTTGCTGCACTCGAGATCATTCCGTAAACATTGCTCTCGTGTGCAGCAAAGTGCCACTTTCACCACTAGTTACACAAATAACTATTGTTAATAACCACTCATTGCCACCCACATACAGTATAAACAGCTGACTGGTGTCCGGTAAAACTCATTACAGACGTAATGAAACCCCATTTTATTAAGCTGGTGGTTGGTGGCAAACATCTGTTTTCTGGACTAAATCCTTGCGTGGTAAGTTCGTCAAAATAGTGAAGTGGGGCGTAATAGTATATTTCGTACCAAGGGCCGAAAATGAGGTTTTGCCGGCTCGAGATAGTTTTTAAGTTCGAGACGAAGTCGAGAACTTAAATCGATCGAGAGCTGCAAAACCATTTCGGTCCGTGGTACGAACGCTATTTTTCACCACACTATACCCTATTACCACTATTCACCACTATAATAATGCACACTGATAGTCAACACAACTACAACTTTAAGGTTAAGAAATAATTTGAGGAATCAGCAAAAATATAAATAAATAGTTGCTAGGCAACGGTGACAATAACACAATTCTATTGCAATGCTATGGATTTTGATTGTGTATTTAAAATGCATTCATGTTTTAAGTAAGTAAGCGGACAGCTGATTTTGCGGCCCCGGCCTGTAAAAACCTGCTCGTCCCCAAATTACGATGACAGCTGGCATGGCCAGCAAAACGTAACTTTCAGCCACCAATTAACGTATGTAATACAGCCAAAAACATCATAGTGTGGTGAAAAATATATTCTTGAACTTCTAATACTTAGTTTACTACCATATCGATCGCGATTCCACTGAAGTTTCAACGGGTCTCAAACACATGACAAAATGCGTTTTTATTTGAACTTTCTCTAATTTCTTTAGCAGATAATAATTTCCCATAAAATGAGACAGTGAGAGTAATCACGGAAGTAATCTCGTCAGTCATGACGCATTTTCATGTTCATTTGACACTGGGGAGGAATTCGGATTGATACCAGTAGCGACATGACAGCTCAGGGTTTAATGTCCCTGGTAAAATATTTTTAGCTATTCTAAATTTACCTCTCTTACTTTTACTCTTTACTAGTAGCTTTTAAACTATCACAAAGGTAACTAGAAAGTGTTTGCAGAATTCATTCAAATCGTAAAACGTCATGCAGTTGACTTTGGAACCATAAATAGTTTTGTACTTGTACTATTCTTATTTTATAACTATTTAGTTCATACTTTGATTTAGTCTTATAATTAATTATTTCATGCTTTACAATTTTAAACCTATCTTAGTGTTTAATGACAGACACGGTTTAAGATTTTAGTAAGCTTATGGCAGCTAATTATGTTTCTATTGTTAGGATACATTTTACAACAAACGTAGTTGATAAGTTAAAATTCAACTGACTGATGACGTCAGATTAGTAATACAATAATAGGGTTATAGAAGCTATGAGGAACTGGTTGAAAGAAGCCCCTTTACCTAACAAAGAGAAGGTGGAAAGTTGAAGTAACGGAGAAATTAGATTGTTGAAAACCGACGAAGAAAACAAAGAGGACCGAAGGAAGTGGAAACAGTTATGTGGTTGCTTGAGTATAAATAACGATGGGAGTGTGAAAGTAAGTAAATTTCACAGTAAAGTAAGTAAGGGTGAAACCACAGCACAAGCAATGGTGTAAACATACATTGTTGCTATTATTTAAAAAGAGTGGGTTCAGCTAAATCGTTTTAAAACTAAAACACACGCATTTAAAGTATTTTGCACACAAAAATCGTTACAATTAACATGCAATATAGCCCACATTTGCAGCTGAGTAACGATTTATAGTTCGATTCGTATAGACCATAAAGCTTTTTTTATTCAACACAATGAATAATACATCGTAATATTTCATACACAGTTGTTTTTACTAATTTACAGGACATTTTTTGATTGTGTACCACATTAGTTTATTTTTGCACACATTGTACATATTTCTTACACCATGGTCTAGAGATATCATCGAAGCCCCAAGTCTCAAAGTTAGGTCGGTGTTGCTTAAGAACCAACTCAAGTATAAGCATGCTAGTTCAATTGCATCAATATCAAATTTATTTTAATATGAAAATTTTTATTCTGCTTTGTAGAACAGTGTTACTACAGCTTATTTTATGAACCACTGGGCTAACGTCATGATCAAGCTATTATAGGGGATTAATGATTGGAGGGAATTGAACTCGGGGCTTTTGAGAAGGAAGTCCTACACTCCCATCACTAGACCAGACACTCCCCATACACTAACAGACTACATAAATAGACGTAGTTTAATTGTTAAACAAGTCATAATAATAACCTTTTCATGTTCTTCACATTGTAGTATTTAACACAATTCCGTGTTGGACCTGTCATAGTTCTATTGTGTTTGTGATTTATTCGCGCGCCTTTGTAAAAAGTCCTTTGTTCCCACAGCTGGAAATCACATGGATGTTTCCGTACGTGACCTTTTGGTTCTCTTTTACACAAAATATAGAAGCATTTCATATCACATACCATAAAACATCTAATATAATAGTGTAATAATACAAATGTATTCAGGTTATTACATTTAACGTTTTTCTAAGCTATGTTAAATGCTGTAGTTACATGGCCATACAGATATGACTTCTCATTTCTGATATACAGTATAACCTAACGCTTTATACATACGATTCAAAATTCAACTTTGCAATACATAGTGTATTGCATTAGGTTTGTTGTGACAAATCTACAAATATTTATTATTTGCTTTTTTCTACGCGTATTAAATATTTTAAACTATCAATTCTTTAAATGTTATATAGGTATTTAAGAAATCAATATAGGTCCATTGATTTCAAAATGCTAAAATTTAATAATTACCTTTTAACCTTTCTAAGGGATTTTTTTTTATTCCAAGGGAAGCGTGCTGGTCTAGTGGTGGAGCACCGGGACTTCGAAGTCCAAGTTCCCAGGTTCAAATGAAGCCAATCACCAATGGATTTTATCTATGTGATAATGCCACAACCTTCTAGCTCTAGCCTGAAGTAATGTGAAAAACAGTTCCGGGCTAGAATCCCAGCGTCCTAGGATGTGAAGCTGGGACATAAGAAAAAAAACATTCCAAAGATAGATGATGAGATAAAATCCTGAACCACACATACCATAGTCGGCTTTTTGGTTCTACTTTTTTTGTACGAATATGTAAAACTATTACTTTGAGTTCTGAGCGGAACTTTTTGCACCTAGTATTAGTGCTTTTCTCTCCGTGTGGTTTCCAGGGTTAGAATGGGACCGAAGTCTTGCCGGCATGTCGTGAGAGGCGACTATCTGAGGTTGACAGGTCCTTCTCTTCATGCTGCCAATCTTCTACGAGGTTAGGATTTCTTTATATCTTTGGCTTTTTCCTTGAACTCGTTTGTCTTTCCTCTCATTCTTCTCCCTTCGCCCCCGTTTCAGGAGGGTTTCCTTCTTCATTTTCGACCGGTGCACAGTAAGGTTGAATTGCTTTAGAACATTAGGTAAGTTGACAAATTATGCTAAAAGAAATTATAATTGTATCTTTAACTATAAGTTTAAAGACAGCTTAAATCAATAAAAAATAAAACTATATCTCGTTGCTCAAAATCTAGCAATACTGCAACGTGTTATAAAAGAATAAAGTAAGAATCTCACTTGATTCCTCGAAGCTCTTGCCCATAAAAATCTCTGACAGTCCTAAAAGATTGGACAAATGGGTTGGGTTGGTTTTTTTAAGGTGTAACTATTGCCCGAAAATTACGTTTGCATTTTGTTTCATGCTCTATTGGGTTCCAGTGTCAACGTCGTACATATAAATCTGTGCGCATTTAGGGTCACGACTTTCTTAAGGAATGAGAGGACCTACTTGGTGGTGAAACGTGTCATATTTCTTTAAATTTAGATCCCATGCGTGATCCTCTCATTTAAAAGAGTTTTGTATCTGGCCATGTGCAAAGGCGGAATTGAATTTATGAATGTTACCCAAATAGTTTCTGGCTCTATAAGTATTGTACCCCTGTTTTCAGATTGGGAGTCTCCAATAAGTTCCTGAACTGTCTCGGCCAGTCTTTTCTTGTTTAAATGTAAGCCACAATAATGTAAATCTTTAATGTTCATTTATCCGAGGTTGGATGTAGCACCATGTCGGCTACTGCCACTCTGGAGTATCCGTCAAATGTTCCATTGGGAGGGTGATGCAAGAGGTCACGTTCACATTCCCTCCGGCCACTCACCGTTCTTCATCTTAGGTGGCATTGAATTTTATATTTAAACAAAACACGAAAGTTAACCGTACAAGAGAAAACAAAATTAAAAAGAAATTTTGTTACACATTGTAAAGTACATGAGCAAGGTAACGGGTAACTGCACTGCTAATAAGCACTTTCAAACATACACTTTATCATACCAAACTGTAACTAAAACTATATGATAATTCAGTAAAATACGATGTAAGGAAAACCAATTCCACGTTTAGCCTACATCTGGCTAGGAAATACTTTATGGCTTTGCTTTGGCAGTATTAAGTCCTACAGGATTAACCTCAAGAATAAAACAACCTCAAGATTTCAATCCATATCCATATGTTCAGTTGTGAACAAAGTGAACTGAGTTTGATAGTATGTCAGTAGATAGCTCTACCTTTCCGAAAATTTAGCCTTTAGGGGGGTGTCTATGGTGATGCCCTTTCTTTATGTTCTGAGACTTATTTGCACATATACGTTAAAATACCTTTAATTTGACACATCAAAAATAAAAATCCGTCCAACCTTCCCATACGCCTTCATCGAATTATAACTCCGAAAAGAAAACTGTTTGCGTATTAATATATGGATACCACGAAACATTTTGATCGAGCCTTATTCTTATAGTTGTTGATAAAATATCATAAAAATAATAGATAATCGAAGTGCTTATAGCTTAAATACTTCAAGGTTTTGTTGATGGATAACAGATTATGGATGTCTGGCCGTTTGTTTTTGGACTTAGTTTTTCCACATATATAAAAAAAAAAATGTTACTAAGTATTTCAATATAAACTGGAAATCAAATGTTTACTAGCTTGATCCATTATAAAAACTATGCTGCATTTTCCCTAAAGAGTCGCCATACAAATAAAAGTCCATTTGGCGAAACTTTACGAATTTGTTACGAAAATTCTTCCTCTGAAAAAAGTAATTTGACAAATAACCTATTCATATACTTTTTATTTTTAAATTTATTTCTCGAAACAAACGAGATTAGGCCTAGTTGCCAAACACGCTTTTTGCAAAACTGAAAGTGTTTTAGCAAAGAAACAGTTCTATGTAAATATTTGTGAGGGAAACATGACATATTTGTTGAATTTGGGAGTCTTTCATTTAGTTGGTTTGATTGGAAGAAAGGATTCAGGAAGGTAATTCTGAGCAATTACTTGGTCAACCCCAATTTTTTTCATATTTTACTATGGTCATCAGGAGGTTCTCAGAAAGAAAGAAACATATAATTCAAGCCCCGCAAGGCCATCGTACAGGTTGCCGAGCGATAAGAAGGTTCAAAGTCCAAGCGATAACAGTGGCTTGCGGGAGACGCGCGGAAGGCCAGTTGCGACAGTACCGTTATGGCTATGGCTAGTGGTTCATCCGACAATCCTTTTCTATGTGACGCCATTTGTTTCAGGCTATCGGTGAAGTTTACAACGGGGAATCGGCGCAACAGAATGTTGATCCAGTTGCCGCTGACTCGGATGAGGACGTTGAACCCAGCGATTACTGAAGTAATTAATAACCTAACTTAACCTAACTTAAGCTAACCTAACCTAACCTAACCTAACTTATTATGTTTTTTTATAGTCTGAAATACATCTCTAAGGCCAATTGTAACAGTACCGTTACGTTAGGTTAGGTTAGGTTAATTAATAACCTAACTTAACCTAACCTAACCTAACCTAACTTAACCTTGCGGGGCTTGAAATATATGTTTCTTGCTTTCTGAGAACCTTCTGATGACCGTAGTAAAATATGAAAAAGATTGGGGTTGACCAAGTAATTGCTCAGAATTACCCAGCCTGTGTAGAGTGGGCTTTCAAGGACTATAAAGCGCACAGTGATTACAAAGAGAAAAAGGTTCTGTGAAATGGTATAATCTTTAAAACTCTTTTGTATTACTTTTAGCGAGATTGTCGAGTAAATTATTTATTTTTAAGAGTAATGCATATTTTAGGAGGACTTTAGCGTCTTTCAAACATTACAAACAAAGGTGGAAATAAAATTTGTGTGTAGAAATAATATCAATCATCCATTATACAGTATCTTTAATTTAGACATTACTTAAAACTAGTATAAGTTAATCGTACAAACATTACAAACAAATAGTACGAATAACGAATATTCACAGCTTCCAAATTTGAGGGTTTAAAATTACTATATACAATAATTTAAATACATTGTAAAATATGTTAAAAATTAAGGTATGTTCAAAAACACACACAGTTCAACTTTGTGACCTAGCTTATCTAAAACCTACTATAACATTGAAGTATTTTAGTGGAAAATGTTGTCCTATATACTAAAAAACTTTTGCAAAACCTATGACAGCTAGCCTGACCATACTACTGGACCGAATTACAGGCGGTTGGTACCAAATGAAAGATATTTCGTGTAGATGTGCAGAATCCCTTTATAAATTAAAATAGGCTAAAAAATAAGCACAAAAAATGAATTTTAAATTTAAAAAAGTACATGAGCCTTATGGGTTGCTATGTTGGTGACGACGTAACAACAAAATATAAAAAATCAAAACAGATTAAACAAATTCCAATCACATGTTTTATTTACAGTGTGGGTTGAAAATGGAGTAGTCTGCACAATACCCTACTTTTGGTCGAGTTTTCGTCCACGGGGTGAGCTCTCGTTACATACCTAATAAGGTTTATTGATTTTACATATTATTTTATTACTATAGAGTTTGAAGTTCCACATTAAATGGCGAAAAAATGAACACATTGCAATAAATGGTATAGAACAACCATACTTGGTGTGTATGGTATTACAAATAAATTGCATTCTTTTAAATTATAGTCGAATTGAGCGAATTCGAGTCCTACATAACTCGTTTAGTAAATTATAAAACCAATTCAACCACATTATTTCGAAATCTAAGAAATAGTAAAGCTACAGCGATAAATTTCATCATTGCATTGCTTTAACTTTTAACAGTTTTAGTAAATTAATATGTCCTTTAAATTCAATGTTACCATGTTCCTGCATTAAGTGAGACTATTTCAGAATTGTAAAACTATACTAAAAGAGTGATTGATGTCCACAAAGGTCCGTACTGTAAAACAGTTGTTCAAGAGTTGACAGTCAAACGTACAAATCACATCGCGAAATTCCCTAAAATTAATGGATGGAACTGCATTCACAGCTGTAGACAGCAGACAAAGTTTCTTCAAGTCTTGTTCGAATTGGTTTACAGGCGACCCTAAACATTCCTTTAACAACTTCCCACCCTGGAGAAGTAAGGAAGGATATCCAGAGGTGCCTGGTAGTTTCTCAACCATTGTTGTCCGTGGTAGACTCGATGGGAGTTCTCATCCTTCCATCTACCACATGGTAAGTAGATGTCGCGGGACGTCGCTCCTTTCTGTACCACAGGGGCCACGAGCAGGTCTTCGCCTAACATGTATTCTAGAAGAAAATAACCTAATTAGACAAGGTACTCTAGAAATTTCACTTACGAACTGAAAACATTCTTATTTGATTTTTAATTATTTGTTTTGAGTTAGGTCTTTTGTTCATAGGGCACTGAAGTCATTTTCAGTTATTAAAAATCAGCAAGAACTCCTCTGAAGTTCTAAATTCATGTGAAAATTCCTCAGAAAAGAAGTCGTGTACATTTCACATCCTTACACCAGGTATATGGACTCCAAACTAAGACTTGCGCCTATGTTCCCCTCAAAAAGGTGTTTATTATCAAAACAACCCAGTGGTATGATATCAAATTCAAGCACTACAGCAGTAAAAAAAGTTGCTTTTGGAGTAGAAGGCTCACCCCAGAGAGAAAACTGTATAACCAGAATAGCCCTTCTTCTTTATTTCGTAGATTGACGAAGATACAGCTTAAAATGGCTCCAAACAATTGAGTCACGTAATTTTCACATGCCTAAGATTATCAGTGGTTTGATCAAGAACCTCCAGGAATGAGGCTCTGCTTCAGCCACTACACCAATATTAAACTACAACATTGTCAAAAAAAAAAACAAAAAAAACGCATTAAATGTTTTTAGTAAACAACCTCCAGGACAACTTTTAACACTCGGGAGGCTAATGGGAGGACTATGGCGAGGCTAACCTACCCCATAATCATAATCTAACTGATGTCTAGCCAAGCTTTCTTCTTGGTTATAGTGCTTTCTTTGATTGTGAAAGTTGCCGGTTTGATTCCAATTGGGACCGATCCGAATCCAAGAATGTCATCGGGCTGTCAATTGATGCTATCAAATAGAAAGTTGACGTCAAAAGCAAGACCAGGGTTTGGACTATTCCCTTACAAAAACTGAATAATGCCACGGGCGTCTTTACAATAATAATATTATATAAATAGTAGTGTAAAATACTTACGATCCCAGACAGAGTGAGCCTCAGGGTCAGTTGGAGCGACCCACCATATAGGAGTGTTGACGGGGGTTCCGAACCTCACGGACCTCCTCATTGTACGGATGATCTTGCCAGAGTATGCGACATGCAATGAAGTGAACTTCTTAGATATCCTTACTGTCTGTTGGGAAAATATAGATTTGATTATGAGTACATAGAAGTTATGGCTGATTTTCAGTTATCGGTGTCTTATATTTAGAGTAAGATTAAATTACAGATAAGAGTTTTACGTTGCCAACCAACCTGTAAAGTTTTAAACAAGATAAGTGAAGTGTAGAATGAGTGGAATGACAGATTTGTTACTAACTAAGAGCGGTTTGTTGGTTGACCAGAATCATTCATTAAAATTCCAATGATCAAGGATAGCTGGGTCGAGTTACTCATCATAACAAATTTTGATTATTCCCGGGATAGGATCATAACTACTTACCGGCAACTATTTGATCAGGTGGGCAATGTATACATTTAGCTACCCAGCTATTAGTATTCACTCCATAAAAAAGTTAACTACAGTATTTTTCTGTAATGTACGAACATACAGTGATTGTTGGTATTATGAATACATATATATTTATACTGGTCATATTTCACTCTCAGTAGGTATGCGCAAAGGATGAGTGTAGAATGGAGTGAGATGGAGTGTAACTTGCTTATTTGGACAAGTTGTTTCTCCAACCAGGATATTCTTATCAAGGAATTGTCAAGATCAGCTGAGCCCCGGTTCATACCATCATCAAACAGTAGTGGTGAACCCAGAAAGATAAGTCACTTTAGGCGTTTTTTCCCATAAGAATAACATGGGGATCATTTTTTGGCCACCAAAACCAAAAATCCTGATCTTTGCCTACATATCCCTATAAAATTGTCAAACCTTATTTCTTACTTATTCCTCATAAATATATTCGATATTAAGCTAAAAAAGCTATTTCTTATATTTATTGACCCTTACAAGTGTAAATGTAGAGTAGTGGCGAACCCAGAAAGAGCCATCACTTTAGGCACGTTTTCCCCATAAGAATAACATGGTGAGCTTTTTTTGACCACTTTTTTTAAAATCCAGCTCTCGGCCTATACAAGCCTATATAAATGTTCAATACCATTGTATAACTTCATTACTATTTCAAATCCACATGCATTCACATGTATATTCTCAAAATCATCAACTTGACAGTGTGAGGTTTGTACGCGAACTCATGCGTGCTCCCAGCTCATGGCGCGCTCCCTTGGACATCCTTAGTGGAAATCCATGAATTCTGGCTACTTGGGAACCCAAGCCATTTGACATATAATAAATCACCTTTTCTCCTAATAACCTTTTCTATCAAATACATGTCTTTATATTTGGTCTTTAACAATTCCTCTGTATAGAAGCCTCCCCTGATTATATTACCATTTTCATCTTTCAAGATATAAGTCACAGGCTTTGTATTCTTTACTTCTGCTATTGTAAATAGCTCCCCTGTCCAATTCGGGGCATATCCTTTACTAAAAACATGTTTATACTTGGAAATTCTCACACTATCACCTACCTTATATCTTGGCTTTTTAACTTGCACTACTTTAGAAGTCAACCTCTCATGCACATATTTACTGTTCTTAATATTCACTTGGTTAGGCTTCATTCCTATAGATCTATGCACCTTATTATTATATTTTTGAATTAACTTTGGAAGTAAATCCAACCATTTATAACTCCCCTGAGCACTAAATTCCCTATATAACCAATTCTTTAAAGTTCTCTGAAACCTCTCCACAATTGCAGCCTTAGTTGTAAAAAATGAGTGATAGTGATTAATATTTAGTTTACTAAAATATTGATTAAAAAATTCTTTTCCATTGTCAGATTCAATGTTTTTAACCCCCTTTGGTAGAATGGTTTTAATGGCTTCTGTAACCACCAACCCTGTCTTATTCTTTATTGGAGCAGCATAAGCTTTTTAAGAAAATGTATCTATTAAAGTTAAAATATATTCATTGCCAGATTTTTTACCATTTTGCTATATCTCAAATAGTTTTCGAGATATAAGTATTTTAAAACAATATTATGGACTTAAAAATGTCAAAATGTGCAAAAATGTCAAAAAGTCTGGACTTTTAAAATTTTCGTGATAACTGTTATTTGTACCCATATAAAATAATGTTAAAATTGTTTTTGAATTTTAGATTTTTTATGTTGTAATATTGTTTGTAATCAAAAGTTGACACCCACTATGTGTGCCAGAATTTCAACCGTTTTGCCATATCTCAAGCCGTTTTCGAGATATAAGCATTTTTAAACAATATTATGAGCTTAAAAAATTTTAGGTGAGTAAACATGTCAAAAACTATGAATAAGAAAGTTCTATCTTTTGATGATGACGAGAGGCTTATTCTGGAAGATGACATTAATACTCTTGCTCTTAGTAATTATAAATTGATCAAACTTAAATCTATAATTGCAATTATTATTTAGCCTTTCAGTAGTGGCAATATGATGGTATGACCCCACTTTAGGCGTTTTCCCATAAGAATAACATGGTGATCATTTTTTGGCCACCAATTCCAAAAATCCTGATCTTTGCCCACATATCTCTATATAATTGTCAAACCTTATTTCTTACTTATTCCCCATAAATATATTCGATATCAAGCTAAAAAAGCTATTTCTTACATTTATTGACCCTTACAAGTACGTTGTCTATTTATGAAAAAGCCATATTTAGTTTTATCCAAATTTTAGAGGAAGAGATCGCTAAATTGGTTAAATGAAACGTCATTACCAACATGATTGTGATACACATGTTTTAAAACTTAAATCGTCTTGTTTGGATAATATTAGGAAATTTACATTATCACATAAATGTTTGTGTACTTTGCTGCAAGATTTACACAAGTAAAAACAGTCAATATTTTTATGTCGACCTTTTGACAAAAATGGTGTAATATTTGGACTATTCATATCATCAAATACAACAACTAACTATGATTGTGATGTGAATTTTTTGTGTACTTGTGTACTTCATCACACACATTTCATACTATTTTCACAAATTACACATGAATTGTGAATGTCACTGTGACTGTGATGTAAATTCGTGTGTACTTTATCACACACAATTCACACAACTTTTATAATTTTCACACAAATTTACACAATTTCTGAAACTATAAATGAAATTTCACATGCATTGTGAATTTCACTGTGACTGTGATGTGAATTCATGTGTACTTTATCACACATATTTCACACAATTTGACACAACTTTACACGATTTGACACAACTTATGTAAAATTTGTGTCAAATCGTGTAAAGTTGTGTCAAATTGTGTGAAATATGTGTGATAAAGTACACACGAATTCACATCACAGTCACAGTGAAATTCACAATGCATGTGAAATTTCATTTATAGTTTCAGAAATTGTGTAAATTTGTGTGAAAATTATAAAAGTTGTGTGAATTGTGTGTGATAAAGTACACACGAATTTACATCACAGTCACAGTGACATTCACAATTCATGTGTAATTTGTGAAAATAGTATGAAATGTGTGTGATGAAGTACACAAGTACACAAAAAATTCACATCACAATCATAGTTAGTTGTTGTATTTGATGATATGAATAGTCCAAATATTACACCATTTTTGTCAAAAGGTCGACATAAAAATATTGACTGTTTTTACTTGTGTAAATCTTGCAGCAAAGTACACAAACATTTATGTGATAATGTAAATTTCCTAATATTATCCAAACAAGACGATTTAAGTTTTAAAACATGTGTATCACAATCATGTTGGTAATGACGTTTCATTTAACCAATTTAGCGATCTCTTCCTCTAAAATTTGGATAAAACTAAATATGGCTTTTTCATAAATAGACAACGTGCTTAAAGTAGGGTCTCTTTGCTAGTTCGCCACTACTTTACATTTACACTTGTAAGGGTCAATAAATGTAAGAAATAGCTTTTTTAGCTTGATATCGAATATATTTATGGGGAATAAGTAAGAAATAAGGTTTGACAATTATATAGAGATATGTGGGCAAAGATCAGGATTTTTGGAATTGGTGGCCAAAAAATGATCACCATGTTATTCTTATGGGAAAACGCCTAAAGTGGGGTCATACCATCATATTGCCACTACTGAAAGGCTAAATAATAATTGCAATTATAGATTTAAGTTTGATCAATTTATAATTACTAAGAGCAAGAGTATTAATGTCATCTTCCAGAATAAGCCTCTCGTCATCATCAAAAGATAGAACTTTCTTATTCATAGTTTTTGACATGTTTACTCACCTAAAATTTTTTAAGCTCATAATATTGTTTAAAAATGCTTATATCTCGAAAACGGCTTGAGATATGGCAAAACGGTTGAAATTCTGGCACACATAGTGGGTGTCAACTTTTGATTACAAACAATATTACAACATAAAAAATCTAAAATTCAAAAACAATTTTAACATTATTTTATATGGGTACAAATAACAGTTATCACGAAAATTTTAAAAGTCCAGACTTTTTGACATTTTTGCACATTTTGACATTTTTAAGTCCATAATATTGTTTTAAAATACTTATATCTCGAAAACTATTTGAGATATAGCAAAATGGTAAAAAATCTGGCAATGAATATATTTTAACTTTAATAGATACATTTTCTTAAAAAGCTTATGCTGCTCCAATAAAGAATAAGACAGGGTTGGTGGTTACAGAAGCCATTAAAACCATTCTACCAAAGGGGGTTAAAAACATTGAATCTGACAATGGAAAAGAATTTTTTAATCAATATTTTAGTAAACTAAATATTAATCACTATCACTCATTTTTTACAACTAAGGCTGCAATTGCGGAGAGGTTTCAGAGAACTTTAAAGAATTGGTTATATAGGGAATTTAGTGCTCAGGGGAGTTATAAATGGTTGGATTTACTTCCAAAGTTAATTCAAAAATATAATAATAAGGTGCATAGATCTATAGGAATGAAGCCTAACCAAGTGAATATTAAGAACAGTAAATATGTGCATGAGAGGTTGACTTCTAAAGTAGTGCAAGTTAAAAAGCCAAGATATAAGGTAGGTGATAGTGTGAGAATTTCCAAGTATAAACATGTTTTTAGTAAAGGATATGCCCCGAATTGGACA